CATCTCTTCCTCTTTCACCCACCCACTCTTACTCTCAATCTCCATCGCTCCCCTCTTTTGTTCCTCTATCTATCTCAGTGCTTCCCCTCTCTCACTCTCTCTCCTTCTACCTCTTTCTCTCACTGTCTCTCTCTCTTTCTTTCTCTCTCAGTAGTCGCAGACTGTCTGTGCCCTCCCCGACTTCTCCAGTGTCACGGTAAAGTCCTTAAAATGAAGCCTTGACTGGAGAAAAGAGGTCAGGTTTGAAGCCGAGTGCTGGAGCAGAGAAAGCAGTTATCGCTCCGAATATTCACCAAGGTGTGTCCTGAATCTCAAAGTATGTATGATAAAGTGAATCGAACAACAGCGCCCCCCGATGGTAATTCTTGTGTTCTGGATAGATAACTTAAAGGATGCACAATTTGTTTATGATCATTTCGTAAACAAAGTACAGGTTTTAGCTGATAGTGAAGGTGATTTTGGTGTGATTTTGGTGCCAATAGACCTTTTTCACAACGGCCGGAAGTGCCACAATGTAGGGTAAACGTCACTTCCGGTTAAAGCTTTTCTAAGGCAAAATATTTGTAAAAATGTCTCGCGTATTTTCCAGGAGCTTCATAAATCTGCCCCATCACCAAATCTTCATCCAACAAGGTCGACAAAGGACAAATTCTGTCCATGAAGAATTTATCCAAAACTATCAAGGTAAGAAAGACGAAAAATTAACGGCAAACAAAGACGAGCATTGGCCAACTACTGAACAGACCCTTTCTCTTTCTCTTTTCTCTCTTTTTATCTTTCTCTCTCTTTCTTTCTGTTATACATATTGAATTAGAGCCGGTGTTGACAGAGCTATGTTAAAAGCATGTTTAAAGGTTAATAACAATACAAATATAAATATTCCCAAATTGTATTCTATTCCTGAACTGAACTATTTTACTATTGTTGCAACTAAAGTCATTTACATTACACTGTTTAACCCTTCTAGATCTAAAGGCAATTTGAATAATTTGTCCTCGCCTGGATTTTTTTTCTTAATTTTGCTAATAAAACTCCCCCTTTTACCCCCTAATGGAGTGTTATACATCCTTTTTTTTCACTACAACCTGTTATTTCACAATCTACTGCTGTAGTTGTGTCATATGGCTGTAATAAAAGATATAGGACCAGAAATACAAATTAAAAAGAAAAAAAAAAAAATAAAATTTGCACTCATATAAAACAAACAGCAACCATGTCTAAAGAACTCCATCAACTGTCAAAAAAAAGAAACTTTTTGGATTGTAACCTTAAAGGCCACACAACATCCGGGCCTCAATGATGATTTGGATTATTCCATGTTTCTGTGAAAGTTAACTTTTTGGGTGATTTTTTATTGTAAATGATATTTTTTTGTACTTGTGATAGTCAATTGTCTATGTATTTCATATGTGATGGACACACCTACTCCCCTCCAACATGTCTCGTTATTCTTGTTGTTTGGTGGGGCTGCTCATTACTTATATATTCCTCATGGTTGGCCAACCTTTTGTTTTGTTTTGGGGTTTGCTCATTGTCTTTTTCCTGCTGTCATGTGATGTTGTCATGTGATTAATTGATTGTATTTATTGACACCCGGTGTGTCTTGTTTTTACAACTTTGTCCTGACGAAGACCATCTTGCTGGTCGTAACGTGTTGGTGTCCCTTCATGTAATAAAGGGCTTTTAATATATTCAGTCTGCGTGCCTCGGGTTTGTACCTTACCCATTTTTTTACATTTTTCCTGTAAGGGTAATTTTCTGTTCTAACAACTAAACAACTTTTTGGACATGCTTAATTTAGGGCCTTAGCTACAAAAGTGCTAAATATCAAGTCTCTAAGTAAACTCAAAATATCCTTATTGCCTCAAAACAAAAAAAAATTGCAATGGCCCCATGATTTTCCTGGTGTCAGTCACGGTAACAGCTCCTGTCAGGTCCAGGGCACAGAGCCACATCACTTCCTGCATTTCCATGGTGTTTATTACATTTGGATTTGTACATTTTGACAGAAATAAACCTTTCAAATAAAAATAGCAAGAGATTACGCAGACCAAAATGCATAATTTGCCATTTATTTGAGAAATATCTGCACTTAGAACTGATTTTTCAATTGTTACGAACACAGACGCTCAGAGTAGTCGACCATTTTGACTCATTACACTCTTTGGCAAAGTTTGGGCCAATCAAAATGGATGGAGCGCATGAATTTGGCGTAAAACAAAGTTCCCATTGGACACTTCGTCATCAGGCAGCGTGTGTGTGACGTTGGATAATGACGTAAATGTGTTCAGAAAGCTACAACTGTCAGCTTTTTCTTTGCTTTCTATGAAATCTGGTGTGAAGTTATCGAACATCGGTTTTGTTCAGAATTTTCCAAATGACGTCCCACGCGCATAATTCTATTCCATGTATTTCCATTTTCCAGTAACACATCTCACAGTTAACGTTGATGTCCTGCCTCCGAGCGCCCGTAAGCACACCGCCTTCACATTTGTCCCGGCGCAGTCACACGCCCGCAGAGCTGCCACTACACTGTGAGTAATTTCATTCTTACTTTAAACCCAAAGTTGTTATCCGGAGACAAGCCACCATCCCACCTCCCCAATCCCTGCGTCGTTTGTGTCAGGAGCCAGGAAATCCCGTCACACGAGCTTAAAGAAGCAGAACTAATTCATCCGCGCATCATCTCCGCCTCTCCGTACCCTGCACCGGTCTGCGCCCCTACCCGTTTTAATCAATGCATGTTCCACGTACTTGGCCCACGTTAAGCCCTTGAACAGAGGACAATCAAAGCTTAAAGATCCTAACAAGGCTATAGTGTTGCCCGCATATCTCCTCGCATCGACGTATCGCGTGTTACAATCCGACGCAATCCAATACAAACTAATAGAATCAACGGCGACTTCCCTGGGATTGCGTTATCCTCAATCCATCCCACACTTTCTCTTCCTCTTCCTCGTCTCAAAGCCGCTATTCATTGTTTGGCGAGGCGGTAAAGTAAACACAATTACGGTCGTATTGAACTTACAGCTGTAGCGCGGTGACAAGGCTGAATGTTTACACAGACTGGCTTCGGATTAAATATGAAATAAGAGTTTTACATTATGATATGACACCAGTCCAAGATAGAACATCACATAAGCAATCATGTAATAATCAAAAACTGTAATAAAGTGAGCGTTATGTGATTTAAAAATAATATTACTCAAAATCAATTTATTAAAGGTGGATTGTGGAGGGTCCATCAAATGCTTTTCTTTATGGAGCTGTTGTCTTGAATGTTTTACAGTATGGTATTAAGTCTTTATATCACCATGGAGACCAAATCAGATGAAGTTACAGGTCAGATCTGTGGAAAGGCAACCCCGCTCACAGTCAGAATGCTTGTTTTTCTGAGTATTTTTGAGCTGTAAAACCAACTGTAATTGAATAAATGTAAGGTAGATCTGTTTAATGTCATACTGTGGAACATTCCAGGCAGAGCAGTGACGTATCCATAGAAACACGCAGGTGACAGACCCTTAACCAAAAAGTTACATCGTGATTTTAACAATGAAACTAAATAAAAGCACCAAGGAGTCTCATGGTACCACTGTGATACCAGTTCAAGGTAAACATCAATACACAACTTCAAATGTGTTGCATAGTTACAATTAAAATACTTGGACACCATTCTATTCTAAGTTACACTGAGATCTTATTAAGATAAATTAAGGTACGACTAGCCCGGTAAAATTGTTTTGTTGATTGAATTATTCTCAATTGTAGTCTGGACAAGAAGTAATACACAGGCACAGTTAAGAGTTAAGAGATTAGAAAGCTGGACGTGAACAGCGTGGTCATAGATGTGTTTATTGTCTTTCAGTCTAGGGCTGGGCAACAAAAAAAGAATCACAGTTTTATTTCCCATAGTGATCAATTTCGATTTTCAATTTGATTTTCCTCCATCTTATTAAAAACAAAAAAAGACAGATATAACTTCAGGCATAAAGAACTGTGTGTCAGGATCAGTATAGTCTTTAGTTTGTGTTGATAGGACTGATAATTCTGGAGAAATCCACATGTAAAATTAGGATGAGTGTACAAAATATTAAGCCTAAAAGCATGCGCACAACTGCTATCAACAGAAGCACGGGAGATGTCTGTGTGCTAAATGAGGTCTTAAGTTGTGCTCATAAACGGTGAGAAAATAGTCGTTTAGTTTCTGGCACTTGGATTATAAAGATGAGGTGAGAAAGGAGAAAAGCCCTTTTCTCCTTTCTCACCTCATTTGTGGCTGGATCGGAGAGGGACAGTGGGCGGGGCAGATGGCACCACACACCGACAGGGACAGAGGGAGACTGGACTTTTTAGCCAAATTGTGCAGATTTAAGTCAAAACTTGTGAAGACATAAGAGGCACGTTGTGGCTCAGGCCAGAGAGAGCGTAAATAGTCATCAGTACCACACGCTCTTACTACCACATGATTGGCTGTTGACCTGTTGATTAAAATGCACTTGCCTTATCATCGAGATCGACCTAAGTAGAGATCACAACCTGTCAATCTTTCGATGTTTGGCACAGCAATAAATGGAAGTAAACACACTCTCTGATCTCTCTTTATTCCACCACAAGAGTTACATTAGCAAAAGAAAATTTTATTTTCTGGATAAAAATATGTCTGCTTGGAGCGAGATGAGTCATAGGGACATGAACAGTTATGCAAAATATGACTCAAGTAATAGTTCTTACATTAGAATAGTTCAATGAATTTAACTAACAACTTGGGTGTGTTGGCTTCACAGTAGTTAGTTTCAGACAGATTAACACAGTGGCTTATCTGACCCCTGCCTTTTAAAAACTCTTGTCCAGCAGACAGAGTTCATTTTTCTTTTGTTCAATAATTTGGTCTTGAACACTAGATTTTCAAATTAATATGAACAAATGTGGTTTCGTTTTAACCCAGCAGGGGCATACGTTTCATTCAGAACTGTTCCCCATCCAGTAAACCCAGCCTTTACCTGAGAGCGTAGAGGACGGTTCCATTGGGGAATATCCGGATCAGCCTGTTCTCCACAGTGATGTCGTGGAGAAAGGACTTCTTGGAGTCCACTATAAACGTGTCCGGGACCCAGAGCAGCTCCACCAGGCGCCCGTCCAGACTCAGGCTCTTGTTCCCCTCAAACACCAGCCGCTCATCAGTCCAGCGCTGACGGAGGAAGATGGTGGCTGTGTAGTCCTGCAAATGAGGTCACAAGGTTAACAGTTTAGCTGCATGGAGATATTAAAAATGTGTGCACATGGGAAAAAATGCATGGTTTGCACAAAAACACTTGTCCATCAGCATTTTCTCTTATTTTAAAATATAGCCTCAAACCATTTTGTTGACCTTTTAACCCTTTATTTGTTTGTGAGACTGGCTGGGACTGATAACCACAGGCAACCAGGCATATGCCCCAGGGCAACTGTGGCTAAAACAGCAACTCACAAGAACAAAAGTGAGACTGGAAAATAATAAATAATGAATCAAATTGTACAGTTGCATTGGCCACATTTACATTATGTTTTTTAATTCTGAATTGTTCTGAATCAAATAGTTCTGAATTGAGGTTTACATGGAAAACACGTTAACGATCGACTTTATTTAATTCCTCTAAAAGGGTTCTGATTGGACAGGGACATGAACATGAAAGCAAACTTTTTTCACAGTCCAGTTTCCAATGATAATTAAGAAGCAGCTGGAGAATTCTCTCATCACGCCTTACGTCTGTCAGTTGAGGAAGAGAAGGGAAGAGTGTCGGGGAAGGAGGAAGAAGACAAACTGAGTCAACGGCTGCTCTACCTCAGCCTGATTCATCAGCCAGTTTCATTTCGTGGAAACTGTCTGACCTTTGTTCGCTCGACGGTAGGACGAGTACTTTTTAAATCCATCTTGACCACTTTGTTTACTGTTGTGCTGCACCACAGAAGAGACCCAGACAGGCTCTTGAGTTTGACGTCATGGCTTCACAGCTCTTTGCTGATTGGCTGGTGCGTGGTCTACAACTTCCGGGGTTCTTGCAAACCATCTAGTGTATTCTGATTCCTGACCTAGTCACTGGAGAGAAATTACATTGAATGGAGGCACTAGGTGGCGCCAGTCTGGCTAGCTCTACCTCAGCCCACTCCCACATCCCACTCGCAAATCCAAAGAGCAGTGGATGAAAGTCCGAAGCCAGGACTGGTGGAGCCGGATCGTGTCAGAAGGGCGACCCAACGAGCATGCACTGAATGACTGGAGTTATTTTTAAGAAGAATCAACGTCCGGCTTTAAAATTGGAATAAACCACCCACTTACTCTTCAGAATTAAGTTTAATTCCGAAGAGTTTATTTATTTTTATTCAATCAAAGCTCTCATGTAAACGTGGCAATTGAAAAACTATATGTAGTGTTCATTAGTGTGACCTTCCTGTGGTATCTTGGGTTAAGTTTGGTTTCTTTATTCATACTCATAGGTAAGTTAGTTTTGCAGTTTGAGAGTCTGGTCCCACGTTTTTGAGGACTTTTCACCATTCAAAAGATTTTGTTTTGTTAACTTAATTTGGAAAGAGCACTGTGTAACGTTTCTGGTGTTGGATCTGTCATCCGCTTTGTTCTTGTGAGTTAATGTTTTAGCTTCAAATGTCCTGGGACATACGGTTACCAATCCCAACCAGTCTCACATTGACACATTTTTATAGGCAAAGCAAAAAGTGTCTACTGAAGAAATAAAGGTTTAAATGGTCAATGAATTAGTTTAGGGCTGTATTTTAAAATATGTTAAGAAAATGCTGACAGACAAGTGTTTTTGCGCCAACCAAGCTTTTTCCCATGCACCCTGTTACTCTGTAGGCATATTTTTACATTGTTGGATATTGATAGCGTCAGGTCCCTGAGCTAAGGTGCACTTCAAGGAAAAATAATCCATCGCAATGCTTCAACTCAGCAAGTATTTCCATGCTGCGTTTCAAGTCCAAGGATCATGTTTTTTATTCTAAATGTCTCTCTGTTGCGTCACATGGGATGAAAGCGTGGAATGGATTTGCACCTATTGTAGAAACGAGCTGTGAATGCAGCGAAGGGCCTCGCGTGGAGTTTGTGCAGGCTAAACAGAATTCCCTCGGTCATGGGGGGGTCACGAGGTGGGGTTAAGGGGAGTGGGAGCGTACCATATTGATTTCTGAGATGGTGTCGATGCTGGCGATGTCCAGGCTCATTCCCACCGTCACAGGGCCGTCTGGAAAACAAGCAAGAAAAAAATACATTAGTGGGAAAGAAGTAGATTGGATTACGGTGTATAACGGCAGCGCTTCTGGTGATACAGTGTTTGGTTAAGGTTAAGGTTACACTTTATTGTCCCCGTAGGGAAATCTGTCCCCTGCATTTGATCAAGAGAAGTGGACGCACAGTCTGGTGCACGTGGAACCATCTCTGTTAGTCTTGGTTGGGACTACTTTAGCTGGAGGATTTGACCTATGTAAGTAAGTAAGTAAGTAAGCCTTTACTTATATAGCACCTTTCACAGATAAAAAATAATCAGTTCGATGCTTTACAGTGCAATGAACAACATATACAAGTGCAGGGTTATTACAGAGTCATCTAAAAGCTTTTCTAAATAGCTGTGTCTTGAGCTGCGTTTTAAAAGAGTCTATAGAGTCTGTGTCATAGAGAGCTGGGGCAGGGCATTCCATAATTTGGGAGCCACAGCCTGGAAAGCACACATCCTCTCGAGTTTTAAATCAAGTCTCTGGGACCATCAAGAGGCCCTGACCTGAGGACCAGAGGGTGCGGCCTGAGGAGTAGGGGCGCAGTAAGTCACTGATGTACTGGGGTAGCTGTCCATTTAAAGCTCTGTGAGTTAAAACCAAGATTTTAAAATCAACTGAATAGGAAGCCAGTGCAGTGAAGATAACATTGGTGCTCCTGTTAAAAACCTTGCATCCGAGTTTTGTACAAGTTGCAGCCAGTTAATTTTAGAAGCGTTAAAACAAGTAAAAAGAGTTAGATTGAAAAGAGAGAAAGAGAGAGAGAAAAAAATTTAATAATGAATGAACAATCATTTCAAGATCAGCGTTTGATAAACTTGGTCTTAGTTTAGTGATGTTTCTATGCTGCATGTTTTGGGTTGAAGGGGGAAACCAGAATGTCCAGGGGAAACCCACTCCGACACGAGGTAAACATCTGAACTCCACACACAAAAGCCCGGGTCACCCAGGAGTGGAACCTGGAACTTTCTTGCTGTGAAGTGTTAGAGCTATAGCAAATTCAATATCAATATTCTGGATTCTATTGGCACTCCCAGCCTTTGGGTAAGTGGATCTGACCGCTGAACCAATGATGTTTATGTCAAGAGCAGAATTCGAACGAATAAACTTCGGATCAGTGGAAAAAACACTCAACCGAGCTACTTATTGCTTTGATTGGAATGTTCCACAATAATGGTTAATGGTATTACAAACTATTCTATTCTCTATTACCACAGAGACAAGCAGGTGAGATGATATTTCACCAAGAAAAAACTTCAAGCTGAATAAATTAAAGTTAAGACGGGCGTACACTGTGTGATTTTTGTCAGTTTTTGAGATGATTTTTCACTCGTGTGACTGTTTTTGGGATGATTTTTTGCTTAACCATGAGTTGTGCTTCATGTAGTAAACCTGGGATAACGAGAACCGATTAATACCTCACGACCAGCTCCCGATTTTCAATCAAAGGTTGCAAGAATATTAATCCTGTTTAAAATCCAGTCACCTCTTGTGAGGGTTTTGCACTGTTGAAGTAGTTCCATGAGCTGTGAACTTTTAAACCCTGTGATCTGGTCGTACAGTTTGAGCTGAAAATATCAAAATATCAAAAATATCGCACCGTGTACGTCCGGCAATAAACAAGTTTAATCTCACACTACTGAACATTCCAGCAACTTTTAACAGTGTTAGTTATAGATTTTAGTGTTTGCTGCTCACTGCAAGTTGCTGTAGATACAATCATAGCAAATACATACTAAAATATAAAGTTATTTTTCATACCATATACAGTATTATATAGATGACAGAGACTTCTTACTACATTGCAGGTAGTATGTGTACTTGGTTGTACTAAACTCTATCTGTACCAACTTCTGTTCAGTGTTTCAGTTTGTTTAAATATAAAACATCTTGTCCATCTGTGTAATTATAAACTAGCTGCACCACTGTTTATTTCCTGTCTAGACTGAATTTCTTTTTAAATGTTTCTGAATGTTTTTATCCTTCTTTTTCATCTCTGGTCATTTTGTGCTTGATCGGTTTTGTGACTTTTCCCTTTGGCCTTTCAGATACTCGTGCTTGTCTCTCCACTTCTTAAACTCCTTCTGAGTAAACAGCTTTGCTCCCAGACTGGATTTTGTGTGCTTTTGTCCAAGCTCGTTGACGGATAATTAAATGTGTCTTTACAGCTTTGGTTTTAAGCTGTTTGGTCAAGAAGACAACCTCTGAACGAGCAATCAGGCAGAAACTTATAATGATATGCAACTATTTTACAATAAATTACTGGTTGAGGTGTTGTTACTTTGCTTGGAATATTTCAAGGTCTGGCTTTAAACACGGCAAGCTACAGTATCTCCATGTCACAGGTCAGATCTGTGGAGAGGCGACCCAGCAACCCCGCTCACAATAAGAATAAGTGTTTCAAGTATTTTTTTGTCAGTTTAAACATCTGTAACTAAACATATCAAAGATAGATATGTTAAATGTCTTACTGTGGAACAGACCTCGGCATTGTCCAGCTCCCGGGCAACATACAACCCTTTATTTGACTCTGACCAGCCTGTTTAAGCTCATTTGGAATTACAAAATAAACACATTTTATCATTTTACCTCATGCATGGACTAAAGCTGCATTACTTTTATTTTAGAGGTGTTTTTTAATGACATTTTTTGTAAGGCGACCTCACTTTTTCTTTGCTTAGTCATGACATAAACTCTTAAAAGTCTTATCAGCTCATCAAAACAATGATATTTACTGCTTTTATAAAGAAATACAATTAATATTATCCGCAGATGTCCACGTCTTCAAGAATGTTTTCAAGTTTGGGCCGTCTGCTTTTATCCCCTCTGAAAAGTTTTTGTCGTCTTTTTGCGTTGAGTCAGTTCGCCGCGCTGCCATCGCCAAAATCTCACCATCGACTCATTCATGCCAAACTCAGATTTCCTTCTCCGACAGTCACATCAAGCGCCGTTAACTTAAAACCTGCATCATCTGCATTTCTTTGTGTGTTTTCCATGAGGAGGTTGTGTGTATGATGCGCAAAATAACTGTTCAAAACACAATCAAACGAGAATCTTCCTCGGCGCATCACCCCCGTCTCTCCCCGTGCATGTTTCCTGCAGAAAGAGTCTCTGTCCTTTCTGTATCATGTCAGTGTCTTGGAGGATTTCAGCAGATTTCAGACTCTCTCGAGGGCGGGGTTAGTTCTATCAATCAGGTAGGAGTGGACGTCCGGCTACTGAAGTTTGAGACGTTTCTTCTCGTCATTTTACACACACGGGTAACACGTATCCTCTTCACTAATGTTAATTTAGCATCATAACTTATTTTATCACACGGCGATAAACTATTTGAGTGTGCTTGAGCTCGTGTGGCAACTTCATGTGAACCCTAAATGTGTAACCGCACAGACAGCGGCGTTTTAGACCATATATATGAATGGACAAAGTGCCAAACAAAGAATCCGTCCATATATTAACCGCACTGTTTTATTCGACGCAGTGTTTAAAGTGTGAGAAAAAAGAAGCGGCTTATAGTCCAGAATTTACGGTATGTACGTATGTGTGTGTATATGTGTTTCAACCACGTGTTAAGGTAAAACAATTGGGGTAGGACACAATACGTTTTTTTAAACTTCATTCTACTCCTTTTGAGCACCAGAAATGGTCCAAAACTTGCACACGTACCAATCCTTACGTTTGTAATGTACTCTGCTGAAACAGAAAAAGTCATGAAGCAACAATTAATAGCTATCTTTTACCTTTAGTTCAGTAGAGATTGTCAAATCCAGGGCTGAAATTGTCCAAATGATTCTAGTGAAGGTGTATGGAGTTTAAAAACACAGTGGAGCACTTCCTGTATTACCAGTGACATCACAAGTTGGCAGAGTGTTTTCAGTTTGAGAGAAAAACTCTGCCTAAATATGCAGGATTTGTGTGTTAAACATGTGTGAATGAAACAAAACACAACTCCAGGTCTGTTTTTGATGTGGAAATAACATTATAACACACAATAGATCAGAAATTAGCATAATATAGACTCTTTAAATCCCATATCAAGTGTCAGTCAGCAGCCGTATAGTTTCTTCTATCACTTGAGCACACCATGAGCTTGTATAATAAAGTCTACAGAGTTACATAATACGAGGTTATTATAGGTCGTATTGAAATGCTAAGACAGACCCCGCACTGGATTTTGAGGCTTCTTCGGGGAATTAGTTCTTCTTGATAAACAATGAAAGAAGGAAAACTTTGGCACTTTACGATTTGATCCCTGCTCCCACTCCCACTTATCGCTGTTCATTTCTAACATGGTGAATGGGGGCGCTGTCATGGAGCAGATACAGCGCCGTGTGTAGGCTGTGCACGCCGAGCCCACGTGAACTGACGTCAACCAAACAAGAGCTCACTCCTTTTTATGATTAAAGGTCATATATTACGCAAAATGGACTCTTGTGAGCTTTAAGCCACGTTAGAATGTTGTTACCTCCTCAGAAACACAGCCGGAGTTGTGTTTTGTTTCGTTCACACATGTTTGAGTAATCCTGTGTTATTAGTCTGTCTGCATCTCCAAAGCTCAAAATGCTCTGTTCTGCTTTGTGATGTCATGTAGTTGTAGTTTTCAAGTTAACAGCTACATATTACCTTTTGTTTAGTAGAGATTGAAAATTCCAGGGCTGAAATTATTAGGGGTGTAATGATACATGTATTCGTGCTGAACCTTTTTGGTACAGGACATTTGGTTCGGTTGATGATTTTGCGCAATTTGTGTGTTTACATTTCACCACAAATGGCTCGGGAACTCGTCCGTGATTGGGTTGGCAGTGTTTCCCGCAGCGCTTTATACTTAGAGCGGACCCCTTGCCTTGAGTACGTCCCTCCAAACCACTTGAATCCTCGCAAAAATATGAAGATTGAGTAAAAATTCATCCTGGAACTGTTACTGCTTTTACTTTTTGAAATGTTTTCTTTACAGTTTACAAGGAATTCATTT